TTTGTACTGCAAGGTTGGTGGTTCAAACTCACCAACTGCTCCTTGGAAACCTTATACAGGGTTGCTATAGGTTCGAAACTACCAGCTGTTGCACGGGAGAAAGATGAGGCGTTCTGCTCCCGTAAAGATTTACAGCCTCGGAAACCCTGTACAGGGTCACTATGAGTTGGAACCGACTCCACGGCACATCACAACAACAACATAGGTCAGAATGGACTCGACAGCACTTAACAACAAAATGAAAGTTGCAGGTACATTACCATTGATGCTGCAGTGCTAGGGCATGGAGGCCTCCTGGACGGCTGAGCCCGCACTCCCTCTTCTCTCCCGACTTGTTCAGCGCACTGAGGACCTACTCCGCTTTTCTCCTGCACAACTCACTGCCTTGAGTGCATGCCGTAGTGCCCAGTGGGCTGTGTGAACAACTTCTGCCTGCTTGTCTGCAGTGGTGGCAGCAGAAGGGAACGGGGACACAGACACAGTGCCATCCACCTGGAACCTTCTAACACCTCCTCACTCTGTGCAGACCCAGTCTGATCCTGGCTCCCAAGAGTGGGCATGACAGAGAACAAACAAGATGGCGGATCAGGTGGAAGTGCAGTAAGGAGCTTCGTTAGCAACAACACAGAATACCCGACCAAGCTGGCTCAGGGGATGGTCTCAGAACTCTAAACCACATATAAAGGAATATTGAGAAGGCTGGAAGTCTTACAGCTGGGGGAATTTGTGGCAGAAGCAAGAAATCCATTGATTTCTAGTTCGGGATGCTCAGCTGCTCCAGGAGCCGCCATCTTGGGTGAAACCAAGAGGGGAAGTATCAGAGCGGCCACAGACGCCTGGCAGAATCACGGTGTGGACACTCTTTTCTTTTGGTATCTGTTCATTGGTCCCTTGCTGTCTGCGTACCTCCATTCTGGTGACTATAGGGGTGCTGAGCTAGTGGACACGCCAGCCCCACCCTTGGAGGGTTCTACTACGCATGTGCACGGAGCTCCTCAAAATTTAAAGAGACAGTTTCTAATTAAAACCAAATGGCCACAGCTGGCCCTGAACTAGAAAAAAAGGCCTTAATGGGAATTGTGGAGCAGGACAAGCATACAAAAAAGGAAATAGGCCAAAAATTAAATCCTAAATTACGTCAAAATGACCAACAGTAGCATCTTGAAATTTCTCAAAAAGAAGTATTAATAGTGAAGCCCATTTCCTGATCA